GCGGCAGGGGGGCTGGGCCAGGCTGTTTGTGGCCGCAGCCGGGCAGGATTCTGTTTACCGGAGCTGAAGGTTGGCAGTGAGCCACCAGAGCCCTGGCAGGAGACGGCGTCTGCTTGGAGGAACGTCAGTTAGGAAGAAGCTCCCTCCCGGCATAATTTTTGGTTAAAACAGCAAAGAGGAAAAAGAGTTGGCACCCAGGATGAGTTAGCCTTGTGTTGAGATGTTTGACTAAAACGTAGGAGACCCAATAAAAGTCCCTCTGCAAATCATTTTCCAGGGATCTTTTTCCAAATCTTCCCCCCCCCCGCCCCCTCCTGTAAAAGATGTTTATAGATTTGGCAATTGAAACTTTAAGAATTGAAAGTCTCGTAACTAATCCATAATTTTAAATTGTTTTTACAGATGAGTGATCTCACGCAGTTTCTCCAGGACTGCTTCCACTGTAGAATTTCATCGGATCCCTTACTTTGAGTTGGCATTTCAAATCTATTCATGAGACATTAGCAAAAATGAATACTAAAATAAGTTATTTGCTAAATACTGTTAGATGCATGCATAGGTGCAATTCTGTGCTCACTCCCAAATCTTCAGCCACAACAAGAAAACACATTTTATGGATTGGCAGATACAGGGATCCCCTGGAAAATGTGAACTTCAGGAAATTATTTTTAGATATTTGTCCTTCTTTGCATGGATCATCTCTTCGATTTCTATCTCAAAAGACAGATGTTTTTAGTACAGGTGCTAAAATACAACCAGAGAAGAGTACAGAGGCTTTGGTGAGTGAGCAGGCTCCCCAGAATTCCTTGGAACTTGAAAAGTTGGATGATTCTGGGAGCTTCAAAGTGAAGCATGTAACGGATCATAGTGAACCATTCTTTAATAGTCTCCAGAAATGTACCTGTCCTTGCGATGTACTGGACTTGGCTTCAGAGTCCGCTGTTTCCATTAAGCACTTCACAAACTGTTTGACTACAGTATGGAGGCTCTTCAAAAACCTGTCCGAAGACCAGCAGCGTTACGAGAAGCAGCTGATCTTTGAGCACCCAGCTTTTGTTAAGCTTTGTCAGCAGCTGCTGCGGGACTCCAGAAGGATGACGCGGGGTGACCTGGTGTTCAGTCTGCATGCCGTGGTGAACCTAGGTGTTCCTCAGAACACTCTCCTAGTCCAGACTTTGGTGAGAGTGTGCCAAGTAAGTATCAAAATCCCTCTTCTCCTAAGTTTGGGCTGAAACCTCGGGGCTAATTCTGGGAGGCTGTGCAACATCAGAGAGAGTTTGGTTACATCCCTGGTTTAGTCTGGTGTTCCATGGAAACAGGGCTCCCATAGTTAATTTGTGTGTACTTCTAATTGCCTTCACTTTTGAAATGACTGCCTGATTTCAGACAGATTTAACAGAGAGGAGAAGTCTCAAAAACCATTACCCTTTCAAATCAACTAAATTTGTCTGATGTGAGACCGTGTAGATCACTGCAGAATTAAAACTTATGAAATGACTTCTGGGGGAAAGAGAAGATGGCAGGTACAGATTAAGAGTGGTCAGGTTTTTTTTTCTGAAACTTACTGGTCTGAAGTAATCTGATGTTGTGAAAACTCTTTAACAGGAGAAGCTCAATCAACTTGATAACCGATGTATCTCAGTTTTGGCAACTACTTTAGGAGGGCTGGATAAAGACAAGAATGTGAGCGCTCTTCAAGCTGGATTACAGTGAGAAAAATACATCTTTCACATGTTCTTCATATTTAAATGTTGTTTGAACATATGTCTTTTAGAATCATGGAGGGAATGTCTGCGCATAAAAGACACTGGTTTTAGGACTTAAATGGTCACATGAGATAACAGCTGTACAAGACAGTGATTTTTGGCATTGTCTTTGCAGTTTCAAGCAGAAAGGCTTCTGATGGCATAGGGTGCTAGACTGCTCTGCAGGGGATTCATATTCTGACTGCAGCTCCACCACTGTGGGTTTTTTTGTGATGTTGATCGAGTCACTTCGTGTATCTATGCCTCTTTTACCCATGTGTAGAAAGGAGGTAATGAGACTAGCTTACTTTGTGAAGTATTTTGGTTTGTCATGATGAAAAATGCTGTTTAACAGCCAGGGAATATTTTCTTTTAATTTAGTAAGTAAAAATGAAGATGAAGACAAGCTTAGACTTTATCTGTGCATCCAGCAGGGCCTTCTGTGTAGTGCTTTATCAGAATAACTTCTTTAGCTGTAGTGATTTTTTTCAGGGCCAGTGAGATTTATGTGGGTAACCAATCTGCCTACTCCCACGAGATTGTTTTTACTGAGGCTGTCACAAAACTTGCCATTGATTAGTACTTTTGGTCCTGTGTCAGGTCCTGCTTTGAGAAGGTGGATGTGTTAGTGTTATGCAAAAAACAGGTTCTCCTGGAAGCTCAGGTACACAGTTCTTGTAAGTTGGTAGAAAGCAGGAGATCCATCTACAGCTCTTTCTCTGTCTTGAAGTCTGAAGCTCTTGCCCATTTGCAGGAAGCCGTGTCTGCAGAGATGAATTTCAGAGCAGTGCACTGCCTTAGAAAGTGACACCTCATATTTTTGTAGCTGTGCAGGTATATTTAAGGGTGATTCAGACATAACAATTACAATACCTCCCT